TGACTGAACTGAATGCACGGCTAGCAATCACCACTTATAGCTTTGATTGAACTGAAAAATTCGGTGCAAAGAATCATTATGGAACAAGCGATTAAAATGTTTTAATTACTGCCCATGAAAAGGGACACAAACCACTTAGCAGGACATAAATATATCCCAAGTCCTCCGTTTAGTTGCCACTCAGTGGCTTTGACTCATCCAAATGTATCCGCGCCGGTGCCTTCAGCTTGCGGAATCGGACTATCCCCGAATCGATGCGGAACCCAGCTTTTTTGTCACGCATGTTCTCACTTAGTCGCTGTCGTGCAACCTTCAACATTTCAATGTTTCGACTGGTTTCTGCCATTGCGTCTTTTAGCACTCCGATACCCTAGTTGGCGATGAGGGGTGAGGGTTGGTTTGTAGGGGTGGGGAAATAAAAGAGATTGGGTTAAGTTGAAAGGTGGCACTCAATGTACACAGATACTTTTCAGACACAAGTGGAAACATTTTGCTCTACCCCTACCTTCACCAATTCTCCCTGGACAGCACCTTCCAAACTCACCACCTCTCGTCATCTAAAAAGAACAAGGGCAGCAGGTACATGGGAACACCATCTCTGACAAACTCCACTCCAAGCCACATGCCACCCTGACTTGGAACAACATACGGGATCTACCTAGAACCACTTGGATTGCAGCAGTTCAAGAATGCATCTCACCACCATCTGCTCAAGGGAAATAGAGTGATGGTAACCAGACTGGCCCACATTCCCGGAAATAACACAAAAAAATTGTCTCAGTTCTGGTATCATCCATGGAAATCTGTGTTGCACCTCCTTTTTTGCCTTAAAATCATTTCTAGAAGATGAAAACCAGAGCAGCACAGTCTTATAGTGTGGCCCAAATATATGGGATTTATGTTTTCCGTTTTCAGTCAGCAACACACCTGCTCCATGCACACCTTTTGTATCGTTGCTACTTTTCTGGTCCCATCTCCATTCCCTTTATCCCGTCACTCAATCTCTTGTGTCTTTCGCCCTTGTCGATGACCCTTCCCTTTGTCCTTGTCCCTAACTCCCCCACCCCCCACTCAGAACTGACAACATAAGAGTCATACAGCATAGAATCTCTAACTTCCCCCAGTCCTGAAAGGTCAGACCTGAAACAATGACTCTGTTTCTCTTGCCCTATTTCTAAGCAGAGGCTGTCACAACCTGCTGGGCATTTCCTGCATTTTCTGTTTTCGTTTCAGATTTCTAGCTCTGCTTTCCAATTGGTAGCGAAACCACGCTTCTCAAAAAGTTCTGGACTTTTCAATTCTGGGAATGAACAGCAGGGGATTCTCTCAGATTGGAGAAGGTGCAGAAAAGATTTACCAGCATGTTACAGAGACTGTAGAGTTTGAGTTCCAAGGAAAGCCTGAAAAAGCTAGGACATTTTTGCCACTGGAGCATTGGAGGGTGAGGTTTATAAAATCATGAGGGACATAGATAAGATAAACAGCCAAGGTCTTTCCCCCAGGATCGTGAAGTCCAAAACTAATGGGCATAGGTTTAAGGTGAGAGGGGAAAGATGTAAAAGGGACCTAAGGGTCAACTTTTTCCACAGAAGAGGGTGGTGCATGTATGCAACAAACTGCCAGAGAAGGTGGTGGAGGCGGGTACAATTACAACATTTAAAAGACATTTGGACAGGTCCATGGATGGAAATGGTTTAGAGGGATATGGGCCAAACGTAGGCAAATGGTACTAGTTCATTTTAGGGAATGTGGTCGGTATGGACAAGTTGGATTAAAGGGTCTGTTTCCATGCTGTATGACTCTATTAAAAATGCACCTGACTCACACGACAGGATACTAAATGCTATGCCCAGAACGATGACACATGCCAATCTCCTGAGAGTCCAGAATCTCACTAAAGATTCGAGCTAAGGGCACGACCACTAACAGAACACTAAATCAAACAGTGGGTACAGCAGAAACAAGAACTAGATCTCTAGTTCTGGCTTTCTGGGAGAGTTTAGTATCAGTCCCTGCCTTTTCAGTCCATCCCCTACCCCACCATTTTTCCATTTTAATTCTTCATCTGGGTCGTTTTAAAACAAGAAACAAAAAGCCATGCAAAGATTCCAATTCTGCCCCTGTTTCTGGCAGGACGTTCCATGGCGTATTTTTATCCTTACTGCCTGAGACGGAGATGGACATTCACCCCCTCGGGTCTGCTTCACCACTGAGTTAGATCACGGCAAATCCATCCCATTTTTCTGCCCGAGTTCCGTTAATTCCTTCCCTGAAGGAAAGCGCAATAATCCCAGGTTTTGAAAGTTCCCAGTTTATCCTGGACCCATTTTTTTTTCCTCTGGGAGGAAAGGGAGTTCAAGATTTTTCTGCCGCACTGCATACTGACCTTGACAAGAGTAGCTGCCTCAGGAAGTTGGGTCGCTGGGTGGCGTTGGTAAGCTTTCACCAAGGGCCTGTCTAGCCGTTCACGCAACATTAGATGCCTGCTATCCACTGGGCCCTGATGGACAAAGTGTAAGAAAACAAGCACTTGAAGGTTTAGGCATGAGTGAGATCAGCCAATGCATGGCTCATGTTACTGATCTTTGGGCCTTAGAACAAAGAAGGAACGCAAGAACTCCAAAGTCACATATTTTGGAACTGTAGTAAACATAACGTCACTATCGTAATACAGAATCCCCAGGGTGTAGGCCGTTTGGCCAATCGAGTCCACACCAGACCTCTGAAGACCATCCACCCAGACCCATATCCCTACCCTGCATTTCCCACGGCTAATCCACGCAGCCTGGACATCCCTGGACACTATGGGAATCTAGCACAGCCAATCCACCCTAACCTGCACATCTTCAGACTGATGAAGGAAACCCACATAGACAGAGAGAACGCGCAAGCTCCACATGGACAGCCACCCGAGGTAGGGATCAAACCCGTGTCTCTCGCACTGTGAGGCAGCAGCGTTAATCACTGAGCTATAGTCCCCCTAGGGCTGCTCTCTCATTACAGAGAGAGGGAGGGAGGACTGTTCGTGGCTTAACCTGAGGGTCACCACGCCTCAAGCGAGGGGAGAGTTTAAGATGGAGGGACCTTCCTGGTGACATCAGACAGTACAGGAACTGAACTGTTGGTGTCAATGTACATCACAAACCAGCCGTCCAGCCAACTGAACTAACCAGTTCATGTCACAGTTAATATCATGGGTCACAATATGGAAATTCCCTTCCTAACAAAACTGTGGGGATGTGTACCCACACCCCAAGGACTGCAGCAGTTCGAGAGGGCAGCTCACCACCACCTTCTCAGTGGCACTCAGGGGTGGTCAACAAATGCCGGCCCAGTAACTGAAGGCTCATGATCCGCGAGTGAGTATTTAACCACAAAGTACGGTGAAATTCCAGAAAGACCGAACGGGAAAGTGTTTGAACGGTGAACATCGAAGAGGGAAGGCAGGATTAGGATGAGGTTGACCCACTAACACTCGCCCGGCGAGAGGGACCTTTTCTGAAGGGGCGTCACCAGGAGCAGCCAAACGTTTGATTGGACACAAAGTGAACGGGAGAACAGGCTGTGGTCAATAATGGTCATCTCCGTGTCGTAAAACGTGGGAGTAATAATATGTAAAAGTACGCCTCTGTTTTAAGAGACTGGGCAATTTGACCATTGGAAGGGTCAGAGGTCATCTGGAGAGCGTGGTGGTTGGGGCAGCTCATTGAGGCAGAGACGCACAGGCTCATGGTGCCCTCTGTTGACCTCTTGGCCCCAATGTCTTTGCTGGATCAGATCTCACCGCTCCCTGATTCTGAAACCGCAGCCCCCCCATAACCCCAACAACCCTCTAAAGCTCTCCCCACGCCTGCCATGGGTTCCCACTTACCAGAACGATACCGCTCGCCAATTCCATGTCATCGTACCAGCGCTGCGTGCGTTGAACGGCAGCTCGTGTTTCCCCAGAGCTGACCTCCATGTGTTGCTGAAAGAGAGGGAAAACACAAGCCAACATGAGTTAGCCAGTGAAAACCACCCACCCAGACCCATATCCCTACCCTGCATTTCCCACGGCTAATCCACGCAGCCTGGACATCCCTGGACACTATTGAAACCATTGCAACGTTTAGTTCCACTCTCAGCTCCAGACCTCATAGAGATGTACAGCATGGAAACAGACCTTCTCGGTCCAACTTGTCTGCACCGACCAGCTATGCTAAAGTGACCTAGCCTGATTTACCAGCGTTTGGCGCGCATCCCTCTAAAACCTTCATATTTGTGTACCCATCCAGATGCCTTTTAAATGTCATAATCATAGCTGCCTCCACACCTCCTCTGGCACCTCGTTTATGTTTTGGACAATGTTTACCAGCAGACTGCAGCATTAACCATGATAGGTAATGGATATGGTACTCTGTACTGACGGATGTATTACACCGTGTAATGTAGAGAGTACTGATCTCTCTGACAACGTCACCCAGAGACAGTCAGGAGCCAATTGCCAGTTCCACTCTCTCTCCTCTGGATTGAAAGGTGATGAATACAAGTCCTCACTCTGGGAACCTGAGCACTTGGGTTTGACGTCTGCTGTATTGACTGAGGGCGAAATATTAAGCCTCAGTCCCGAATCTCGGGTGAAGCTTTACTTCAGTGAGGAGCAGGGAAGACCTCCCCAGTGATCAACATTTATCCCTCAGTCGGGGGTCACAATTCCAGACTGTCATTATAGTCTGTGAAACTTTAAAAAGCAGCTTCTGGAAGTCTATACAAAAATAGCACCTGGGACACTGCCCTATCGACCATTCTACACTGACTCCAGTAGAAATTCAATTCAGTTCAACAAGCATCACATGTGGTACCGTCTGCGGATCTAAGCCAACTCTCTCTGTGCAAAGTTTCGACTTAACTTAGCTCAATACTGGTCATTACTTCACTGCTGCATTAATCCACCCAGCCTGCACATCCCCGGACTCTACGGCATGGCCAATCCACCCTAGCCTGCACATCTTTGGACTGTGGGAGGAAACCGGAGCACCCGGAGGAAACCCACGCAGACACGGGGAGAATGTGCAAACTCCACACAGACACTCGCCCGAGGCTGGAATCGAACCCGGATCCTCGGCTGCTGAGAGGCAGCAGTGCCAATTGCTGAGCCCATTGTGCCGTCCATGTCCATCAAAGAAATTGTAAGGCTGGTAAGTGCCCAGAAGAGTGTCATCACTTTTCAGAAAGCAGGGACGGGAAAAGCTGACGGGTAAACAAGAAAGAAAAGAAAAGAAGGAGGAGGAGAAGTTAAGTACAGACATCACAAAAAAACAGCTACATGCCTGCTCTTGGGTGATTGGTTCTTACCATCATGGCTACACTCTCGGCCATTTTCTGAGTGAGCCCATCGTTGACGGATTTCTGTGCCCCTTTGATGACCACAATCGAGTCTTCTATTAACTTGTCACTCTTCTCCCGCAGAATCCTGGACTGGACAATGACACTTTTTGCATTATTCATCGCCTTATCGCAAGCTGGTAACAGGATGAGATTTGATCATTATTTGCACATCGCCCGTATTCACGGGTGAAAATTGCTTTGGCTTTTTCAGGACGCTCACTATCCTTCACCTCAGGCCAGGTCCCGAGAACCAGGACTGACAGTACCATTCATTTCATCACATCGCCAAGCACAGCGACACAACCTTTACAGAGTGCTCTGCAATCACATGGTTTATACACTCAGTCCAATCATTCATCACTGGAGATCTTAGCGGTGTTTCTCTGATTTGTTCACAGGATATGGGTGCTGCTGGCTGTAGTGATTGTAACGAGGACATTCAGAGGACACCATATGAGTTCCCTGATTGGGCCTTTTTAACCTGGTCCAATCAGGGAGCCCTAGCTGAAGGATAAGAGCAGGAGTGTCGGACACCCTGTTCACTCTGAGAGCTGGCTCCGAGGGAGTCGGGAGCCGGATCAGTGTCAAGGACTCTCCGCGTGTAAATAAAGTGAGGCTTGGTGATGGGATACCGGCTTCTGTGGAATTATTCCACTGGCTAAGCCAGCATTTATTGCCCATCCCTAAGGGCATGTAAGAATTAACCACATTGCTGTGGGTCTGGAGACACATGTAGGCCAGACCAGATAAGGCCAGCAGTTTTTCTTCCCTTGAGGACAAAAGTGAACCAGGTGATTTTTTTTTTACTCTGACAATCGACAACGGCTGCATGGCCATCTGATTTCCAGGTTTCTATTGAATTCAAATTCCTCCATCTGCACAGTGGGATTCAAACACGAGTCCCCAGAAAAATTACTTGGTTCTTTGGATTAATAGTCTAGCGATGATACCACCAGGCCATTCTCTCTCTGAGTAGCATGCTTGCCTCTGAACTGGCACTGCTGTGGAATACAGCCCTCTCCATAGAGTGGTTCACTTGAGAGTGTGATACAGCCCTCCCCGTGTCGACTGTTAATCCTCACACTGCAATACAGACCTCCCCAAGTGGACACGTATTCCTGAGACAGTCATAAAGATTTGTCCATGTCGAATGTTATTCCTGACACTGCAATACAGTCCTCCCCATGTGGGACTGTTATTCCTGACACTGTAATACAGTCCTCCCCATGTTGACTGTTACTCCTGACAGTGTAATACAGTCCTCCCCATGTTGACTGTTATTGCTGATAGTGTGATACAGTCCTCTCCATGTGGACTGTTATTCCCAACACTGTGATACTGTACTCTCCATGTAGACTGTTATTCCTGACACTGTGATATTGTACTCTCCATGTGGATTGTTATTCCTGACACTGTGATACAGTCCTCTCCATGTCGACTGTTATTCCCAACACTGTGATACAGTCCTCTCCATGTCGACTGTTATTCCTGACACTGTGATAAAAGCCTCGCCATATGGGCACATGTCTCTGGCACTTCTGTATTGTCGGACATTCTGTATTGTGCAGCTCTTTCTTGCCTTACCATAAGTGTATGGGCCGGTTGGTGTTGGTGAGGGCAACACATTTACATCCCTGACGTCTGATAGTGCCTTGGTTATTCTCGGAGTCAGACAATCTGTTCTGGCTTCTTTGCTGGTCTGGCTCAATAACTGAGGGACCAGATCAATAACCAACATTCGCTCTTTGTAGCATTCTTGCAATTTTATTCGAGCAGTGTCCAATTTCTGGAAGAGGAAGACATGCAGACACCACCACGAAAGAGTAGATTACTAGAAATGTTGCACTGCTTGCTTCTTAAACAACACACATTTACTGTCATCTCATTATGATTTTAGGCACAAGAAAGGCTCTGGGGGTTATTCTAACCTGAAATACAGGTCTACTGCTCAGCAGATGAAAATCTCCATGCCCCAAGGTAATGTGTCAGTGGGGAATGAGATTCATCGTGAAACATTCACAGGGATTACTATTACCCAACCTGTGATCAGGTAGTTCAGCACAGGTCATTTGTATCCTGTGAAGGGTCACTAGACTAAATGATGGACAGCAAATCATTATTTGCATCTAGCCGTGCTTTCCTACACTGGGAGTGTTTGATGGGGACCTTTACTCTGTCTCTAACCCCATGCTGTCCCCAACCTGAGAGTTTTTAATGGGACAGAGTAGAGAGAGCTTTACTCTATAATCAGTCCCTTGCTATCCCTTTCCAGTGAGTGTTTGATGGGGACAGTGCACAGGAAGTTTTAATCTGTAGCTAACTTCATTCTGCCCCTTTCCTGGCAGTGTTTGATTGGGACAATTTTGATGGACATTTACTTTCTGTTTAAATGAGTCGTGGCAGCTTTACTTTGTATCTAACAACAAGAAGGAGGGAGCTTTACTCTACATCTAACCCCATGCTATCCCTGACAAGAAATCATTTAATGGGGCAGTGTAGAGGGCGCTTTACTCCGTTTTTAACCCCATGCTGTCTGTGTCTTGGGAGTGTTTGATGGAGATAGTGTGGAGGAATCTTTACTTTCAGTTTAAAAGATTAGACAAAATAAAGCTCTTTATCTAACCCTGTCCTGTCCCGGGAGTGTTTGATGAGGACAGTGTCGAGGGGGCTTCACTATATCTAACCTCATGCTATCCTGTCTTGGGAGTGTTTGACGGGACAATATCAAAGGAGTTTTAATCTGTATCGAAACCTGTGCGGTCCCTGATGTTTCTTTCGCAAGAGACACCGGAGGGGCTGGTATGTACGGCTCTCCTCTGGTGGTAACGAACCCGCCTCTCGACAGGTATACACAACTTGCGTGTTACAAGAGACGTTAGGGAGGCCCTAACATCATAATCATCACAGCCGTGCCAGTGTCACAGGCAGTATCAGACAAGACAAAGACAGCAGGTTTCCTTCACTGAGGGACAGTGAATATGTGGATGGTGATGTTAAACAAGGAGGGTGCCACTAGCAGAGGTGAAAGCTGCAATGCTAAAAACTGAAAGCAGGAGACCGGGCTCCTGTCAGAAGGTCAGCCGGACCCTTTCAGCTGCTAACCTGAAGCACATCCTTTATCGTGTGCAGAGGCTTCTCCAGGCTCGGTTTAATCTCGGACAGATGCTTCTTCTCCAGGTCAATCAGCAAATCTGCTCCATCGGGTTCCTGCACAGGCCAGGACACATCCAGATGAGTGCAACAAGCAACAACCAAGTGTGCAACACTGGAGGGAAAACTGCTGGCGTCTTTACAAACCTCCTGCCTCCCTCCTCCACTTGTTGTTAAGGGGATCCATGCCTCACTCTCTCCCTCCAACACTGAAGGGATCACCGCCTCGCTCTCTCCCCTCTCCCCACCCCCAACATTACAAAGGATCAGCATCTCCCCCCACCCCCATATTAAATGGGTCAGCATCTCTCTCCAACCACTCCTCGATATTAAAAAGATCAGCACCTCTCTCTGCGTTCCCCTCTCCTCCCCACCGCCCACGATACTAAGGGGATCAGCACCTCCCTCTCTCTCTCTCACTCTCTCATCCCCTCTCCAACATTAAAGGGATCAGCAACAAAGTTGCTGGAGAAGCTCAGCAGGTCCAGCAGCACCTGTGAAGGAAAAAAACAGAGTTAACATTTCGGGTCCGGTGACCCTTCCTCAGAACTGATGGTGGCTGGGAAAACATCAGTTTCTATGCAGAAAATAGGGAGGTGTGTGGGGCAGGGAGTAAACGATGGGATAGAGCCCAAAGAGAGAGAAGGACAGTTGGACAGACATAGGAGTTGCTAACGATCAGGCTGGGAAGGTGAATAGTTGTTAATGGGGACTGTTAGTGACTAACAACAGGGGGTGTGTCATGGCAGGCTATGTGGTAACAAGGCCTGGTGTGTGGGGTAGGGGGCTGGGACATGGGAGAGTTTAGGCTCTAAAATTATTGGACTCGATATTGAGTCCGGAGGGCTGTAGGGTCCCCAAGCGGAAAATGAGGTGTTGTTCCTCCAGCTTGTGCTGAGCTTCACTGGAACATTGCAGCAAGCCAGAGACAGAGATGTTGGCCAGGGAGCAGGGTGGTGCAGTAAAGTGGCAGGTATTTTTTGCGAGCAGAACATTTACGGCAACAAGGTGCAGGGCTGGACGAACACAGCAGGCCAAGCAGCATCATAGGAGCAGAGAGGCTGATGTTTCGGGCCTAGACCCTTCATCAGAAAAGCCTT